TGATTATAATGGTCACAAAGAAAAGAAAAAAAACTTTATAAAATTCTTTCAGGTGCTTATAGCATTGAAATATATCATAAACAGATAATCATTTTGTTCATTGTAAATCGCAGTAATGATCTAATGGGTCCACTGATTTCATGTTCAAAACTTCAGAACTAATAGACTCCACCTCTTCCAAGTGCAGTGTTTCTGTGGTGCAAGCACATGTGCATGGGCTGCCACTGGTGGTACGTCGGGCCCAGTTTGAGTATTTGTTATATTTAGAAACAAATCTATGAATGTTTTTGTTCTCCTTAAGTTAATCATTATTCAAAATTAATTAAAACAAGGTTTAGAGTTATTTTAAACCTTGTATAGTCTAACTTCGAGTGTTCTTTTTTAAAGACATTAAAGGTTTGTTTGTAACTGTAAGGGTTTGTAACAATGAGCATCTGTCACCTTCCTCAGAACCGTCATCCGACTGCAGCTGTGACGTCTCTGATCAGCAAGAGGTGACAGATGGCAAGGTGAAAACAAACCACAAAAAATCAACTAAAAGAAGACTTAAGAATTTCATGAATGGACCAGTATAGTCTAGTTTTAGACCATTATTAAGCCTGGTGGTCATAGAGCCAAATATTATCTAAGTTGGTACTTAAGTTGGAGTGAAATGCATGCAGTGCTGTCCTAGTGGCTATAAAAATAGATATGTGACCTTTTTAACCATGTATGTACATGTATGACTTGGAGTTTGAATTTTTCAAATAATCACAAGTAAGCACATATGATAACAATGCAGGATTACTTATCCTTAAAGCTTCTTTCCTTTAAATGTTAAGGTTTAAGTTGTTTGTGTTGTTACCTGATTTTAACTAAACAAATGGTATTTATTTTCAACAGTCTGTGTAGAGTCACTTTTGTAATACACTGCACTCAGTTGCAATACACTATGCATCTTCAGTTGTGGTGGAAACAGATCCTGGCTAATGTGTTTCACGGTAACTTTCCAAAGGCCAGATGCTGCAGCTTCATCATCAGGACCAATTAAACAGAGTCTTGTATATTGTATTGTATAAACAGGGAGTGCAAACCTCTGCAACATCACTGGGCTATAGGTTTAAAACTGCAAAACCCCAAATGTGAGCTAACCATTTCCAACATGTGCTCAATACAAAATACTGAAAACACAGAATACACATACAATTGGAACATTCAGGCAATGTACCAGATTTTTTCAGTGATGGGACGAACACTTTGAAGATGTATTTAGGTACAGAATACTTAATACCTGCATTAAAATGTATGTATGTGTAATTATAGTGTAAAGACAAAACACAGGATTGAAAACAGCTTTATGCTTGTTTCACTGTTCTCCATTTTCTTTCATTAGCAAAGGAAATTTCACATGCACACACTATATTTCTGTTTTGCTCATAGTGTATTCTGCACCAGAATAAATTTGTGAATATGTATTCTGAGTAAATGAATTCAGTTACTTTCCACACTGCATGTAAAAAATAAATAAAAAATAGTTTGGCCTCAGTGCAGGCCTCAGTGCAGATATTGTAAAAGCAGCTCTTATGGTCAAAATGGGACCGCTGTGTGTTGTCTGCATTTAATTATAAAGCATTTTTATCATCCGTCAACCAGGAAGTAGTGCAGTTAACATGCCAGTTGTTGTTAGCACCGTGGGGGCAAAACTCCACTTTGGCCAATGCAAACTGTAAAAAGTGCTTTATGGTCACATTTTTATATAGCACTTTTCCACCTTCAGGGCACTCCAAGCTCTATACAACAAGGAAGCAGTCATCCACTCCTAAGGACACAACAACAGCATTCCTTTGTTGGAGCTGGAATTGCACTGCCAACCTGTGGGGCACTGGATCCAACTGCTCAACCAATGATGTTTACGTCAAGAGCAAGATTAGAATCAACCTTCTGATCAGTGGATCAACACCCCAACTGAGCTACTGTGGCAACAACCTCATAGTTGTGAATGATTAGGTAGCTAAAGCGAAGAATAACTTTGAAGTGCTGCAAACAGTTTTTAAATAAATCTGATACAGCCCCTTTCACTGCTTGTAGGCTATGCTTTGTACATCTACAACTTACTGTGGGACATAGCACAGTGAACAAAAATAAAAGTATCCTAAAATGGCATTTGAACTTGACAACAACCTGACATGCACCAAAACAAATATGACTTTAAGCTTCCTGTTCCCAAACTAGTTCCTCCAGTCCCACCAAACCCACTAACCTAACACATACCTGGTGTTGGTTCCACCTTTATTTCAATGACTTGTTTGACAAATACAGATCCATGACATTTACACTTAAAAATGAGATCCAACATTACGACAGAATGAGAGAAAGCAGAACCCAACTCCCAATTTCAAACCAGAGACTCCCTTCCGATCACCTGACGATAGCATGTTTTGTACCTTATATTCGGAGGCTTTTAAGCTGCCATGTACCCAGTCTGTTTGATCCTGGTTGCCATCACAAAGCAGGCCTGCTCTTGGACCACGAGTGTGTGGTCCCTAAAGAGGAAACTTGCACACTCTCTTCCTTCTTTTCCTTCTCCTGTCATCGTCAGGCCCATACTCTAAATAAAGACTTTTAAGGCAAACTTTTCAGAGAATACAAAGTGTTTCTCCCCCTCCGTCCTCCCTCCATCGATTGGGGGCGGGTCTTTAAAAAGCTTTCATTAAAACGTGCAGGAGGGAGGAAAAAGTGCTGCGCTTTATTTAGTCTTGCCAGTGGTGCTTTGACGTCACATAATGGAGAAAAGGTTGTCTTAAATAAACGCACTGAAATGAGAAGCCTCTCCAACAGCTTACAGTTGTCATGTGCTTAAGCCAGGCAAATGTAAACATCCTCACAGCTCCAGCTTTCTATGACATGGTTTCATTAGTTTATGAAAAATTCACTTTTTTATGAGTTTGGAATTTGGCTTTCTTTAAAGGCGGTCTATGTAACTTTTCTGGTGGCGGGTACAACACCTGCTTGTCTCCAGGGGGATGTTTGCATGGAATGTTACACAAAATGGCATTAAAACTATAAAACTAAAACTCTAAGTTTCATTCCTTCAGTTACACGAAGAAAGAAAGAAGGGAAGAGAAGGATGCAAGAAAACAAGGCTGTAAGGAATGAAAAACGGAAGCAAAGAAGCAAGGACGCAAGGAAAGAATGAAGCAAGGAGGCAAAGATAGAGGGATGCAAGGAAGGAAGGACGCAAGGAGTAACGGATGGAAACATGCAAGGAAGGATGGAAGCAAGGACTGAAGGACGCATGTAAAAAAGGAAGCAAGGAGGCAAGGGTGGAAGGATGCAAGGAAACAAGAACAGACGAAAGGAAGGAAGCAAGGAGGCAAGGCTGGAAGGACACATGGAAACAAGGATGCAAGTAAAAAAGGAAGCAAGGAGGCAAGGAAACAAGGACGCAAGTAAGGAAGGAAGGAGGCAAGGAAGGAGGCAAGGACTGAAGGATGCAAGGAAATAAGGACAGAAGGAAGCAAGGAGGCAAAGCTGGAAGGATGCAAGGAAACAAGGATGCAAGTCAAAAAGAGAGCAAGGAGGCAAAGAAACAAAAACGCAAGTAAGGATGCAAGGAAGGAGGCAAGGACTGAAGGGAGCAAGGAAACAAGGACGCAAGTAAAAAAGGAAGCAAGGATGGAAGGACGCAAGGAAACAAGGACAGAAGGAAGCAAGGAGGCAAGGCTGGACGGATGCAAGGAAACAATGATGCAAGTAAAAACGGAAGCAAGGAGGCAAGAATGGTTTAAAACTGCAACAGGTCCTGGAGTTGAATTTTTTAAAAGTCCTGAACATTTTAGGATTTGTTGTAAACTAAACTGGATTATTACTAAAGCCAATAAGCCAGTTTCACATTAAGAAACTGAGCACAAAGTAACAGCTATGACATTTTAAAGGATGTCTTCCTTCACTTGCCTCATCCTTTCTCCATATCCTCCATTTATTTTTTCCTAAAGCACACATGGCATGCCACTTCCTAAGAGGTGTTTTTTCAAATGTTCATTTGTGTGTTGTTGAGGTCTCCATGGCGATTGACTAAAACACAACCCAGTCCGTTAGCAGCGGCTCAGCTAAACCATTTGACTGGACTGCATTTCAAATACTGCGTTTGACTGGATATAAGAGCAGGGTTTCATTTATCACAAGTACTTTTTATTCACTTAAGACAATTGACTGTTATAAAGTCTGATCTATAAAGCACAGATGTAGGCCTCTTGTTAAAAGCCAGTGTCCCCTCTTTTGTTTGGAGCTAAGGAGATTTGGTTGAATTTACAGGAGCGTGAGTGCCCCAGGATACAGAGAACACAAGCCTGTGTCAGTGGTGTTTATAAGACGGCTGTACCACACTGCCCTTTAAAGGAGAAGCCACCAAAACAGACATGAGGTGTTGAAATCACAGCGGTGGTGAAATATACATTTGAAGAGTGGGTCCTAGTTTATTGGAAGCAAACGTTTTTTAAGTTTATAAGATGGAAAACAAATTAAATGGGTGTTATTTTTGCTCTTCCATTTAATTTATTTAAAGGCTCATATTACGCTGTTTCCTGATCCGTTCTAATGTTGTTTCCACATCAAAAACATACAAGAAGTTGTGTTTTGTTTCATTCACACATGTTTAATGCATAAATCCTGCATATTTAGGTGTTTAGGAGAACAGAAAACACCTTGTTCCACCTTGTGATGTCATGTGGTAATACAGGAAGTGCTCCACTTTGTTTTTAAGTCCTGGAATTGCCAATTGTTTTATGTTTGAGAGACAAGCTCAGCCTAAATATACAAGATTTGTGTGTTAGACATTAATGAATGAAGCAAAACACAACTCCAGGTATGATGAGGAAACAAGATTTTGTGAGTGTTTAACTGGATAATTAGTTGTGTCTTACTTGTTTCATGCTAAAACACTGTCTTGTGTTGCTACTAGTGCCCATATCTAAAATGCACAATTTTTCCTATGAATTTTGCCCTTACCAGAGTTGGCGTAGCTCTGAGCTTGCACTGTGCTGCACCTGTGAGCTGGAGGTAAAACAGCGGACATTTTGGCATCTGCAGTCTCCTCTGTGTCCTTCATGATCTGCGCTGGCACTCTCCTTCTCCACTGTCCCGGGACGATTATTGTGGCCTCACCCCAACTTCTGCAGTGAAGAGGAATAAATCACAACTTTTACTCAAGGGCGTCCTCTATGTTCTACCCTGTTGTTATGTTTTATATTGATACAGCAGTGAGTCTTGTGATACAAAAGATGATGGGGTTTTCAGAGTGTGGTGCTTATACAAATGGGGGTTTGGTTTGATTTGATTTTCTTATTGCTGCTGTTACAAATAGAAGTGTGGCTTCGCTTTACACATTTAACACCCAAACCCTGCAAATTTAGGCTGAGTTCTTCTCTTAATTTTATAATACGGACCTTTGATGTTGCACTATGCACTTTTTCAGGTAGTGGTCCACTCTTTGCTTCTCTCCATGGAGATGTAATTGCTGTGCCTATAATGTTCCACAGTATGGAATAATATATCTTGCATTTATTCAATTACAGATGCCTCTCCACAGATACAAACTGTAACTGAACCTGAGGTCATCACTCCTCGTCTCAATGGCTATAGAGAAGGTCAGTGCTACTGCAATGTGCAATGCAAGTTTGCAACAACCAAAGTCAAATTGTCTTTGCCCTAAAACCTGTCAGACCACTGCTGAGCGAGTCACTTTCAGGTGGCTAAGGGGGCTAAGGGACGTTCAGGTGATTCTAGTAATGTAAAAAAAACACATTTGCAGCTATAATTACTAATGAAAACATGATCAGCCAGTCCCTTCTACATTCTGTTAGAATCCAGAAGGGTCTGGAACCAGAAAAGAGAGCGTGAAAATCCTCCATCCAAACTTGAGATAATCCAATCACAGCCGCTAATTTGTAGCACGTGTTTCTCAAATGTGTAAGACATCTCTCAAAACTTCTCTTAACATACAGAATAAAACATATACCTTCTTTTATCTGAGTCTTTCAGTTGTTGATTCTGCAAAAATCCATGGTGTTTCTCAGTCCCTGAAGTTGCTTTTTCCCCTTTTTTACTTGTAAACCACCATGTTTGTTTTTGATACAAACGGACCATGCTCCTCTCTGATCAGTTAATCTGCCTGTCAATTAAACCCTCTGAAATCAAGGAAATATTTTGACAAAACTTTACAAAGATGAGTGGATCTGGAGCCATATCCTGCTATCCCGTGTGGGTCTCGCTGTTCAGGAAAAATAAAAACATTAAAGAGGCTGTCAGCACAACTGTTCTAAAAAGTGAGTACACATCCTAAAACATGTCTAATATTTACCCTGACTGTTGAGATTTGAACCACGTATATTCAATGGTAGTTCCCAGGATCACAAGTATTTTTAAAAATCTGCATAAATTGGACCAAGCCAGTAGTGAGTGACTGGTTCCTCAAGATTTCTCTGCCATCTCTGCATTATGTACCAGCTGGTCTGAGTTGACTGGGGCCTTTAAATAGTTAATGAACTAAAATGGTATATGTTTCATTATTTAAAGTAAGTCCCCTTTGCTGGACCTACATTGACAAGGTTCTTACACTGCCCCATGAACCTAATGAACTTGTTTTAAGAATGTAACCTTAAAATGCCTTATTGGAATTGTATCATGTTATATTTTGTTATATTATAAAGGAGATGAGTAAAAAATACTGACCACATTGCATTGGCCATGTTATATATATTTTGATTCATTCATAATAAAGTAAGGCTGACAAAAGTCAACCCAAACATAAACGGCCCATGTCCCTGAAGGGCTCATATTATGCCAAACTGACTTGTTTGTTGTTGTTTCATTCACACATGTTTGAGTAATCCTTTATTATTCATCTGTCTACATGTCCAAAACTCAAAATGCTCTGTTCCACCTTGTGATATCATGTAGTGGTAGTTTTCAAGTTCTGTAGAGATTGTCAATTCCAAGTATCCAAATGATTCTAGTGAAACACAGTGGAGCACTTCCAGTATTACTACATGACATCACAAGGTGGAACAGAGTATTTTCTGTTTGAGAGAAGACAAAATGTGCAGGATTTGTGGGTTAAACATGTGTGAAAGAAACAAAAAACAACTCCAGGTATGTTTTTGATGAGGAACCATAATATAGATCAGAAAATAGTGTAATATGGGAAGGAAAAAAGGAAGGGAAAAAATAAATCCTAGTCCCGGGTTGGACATGTTCTGAATATTTTTAGTGCAGTTTGTGATTGCTAAATGAGATGAATGAGTACAAAGAAAGTCCATAAATATTAATGCAGGCAGTGGCAGCAAGGTCAAAAGGATGTCAAGCCCTGGACAGATGCAAAGCAGGAGGAGGTCATTAAAGGGTCGTATGGAGGTCAAAGGGCAGTTCATTTCACCCGTAACCTTTGACTTTGGTTGAAGAATATTTTTGGTTTACGCATTTGATTGAGAGTAGATGTTGGTGGATTTGACTTGTGATCATAAAGGAGTACTCATAGACTGCATAAAGATGTGGACTAAGGGAGTGTGACGTCACCCATAGCGCTCGGCTCCAGTCAAATGAAGCCCACAATGCATCAGCTGTATGTTTCCATGGAGATAACACATTTTATAGTCATACTGTGAATTCTTGGGAAAGGAGTACCGTCTTTATACAGAGTCGGTGGTTGACTTTCCACTAGAAAACTGCACAATGCACTTTTAAGTTACGTACATTTCATAATTACGCATTTAGGATGACCATCAGTAAACGTAAACAAGCTTAAACGGTCAACTTTTCATGATCACATTTTTATTTAAAGCTCCACTACAACACTATTTTCTGATCTGTTATAATGTTCTTCATCAAAGCATACTTCGAGTTGTTTGTTTTGTTTGTTGTCGAGTTGTTGTTTTGTTTCATACACGTTTAACACACAAATCTTGCATATTTGGGCAGTTAGTTCTTCTCTCAAAAAGAAAACACTCCACTGTGTTTTTAAACTCCATACAACTTCACAAGAATCATTTGGATAATTTCAGCCTATTGAAATGCCTATTGAATTAAAGATAAATGGTGTGGCAGACATGAAAACTACATGACATCACAAAGTGGAACAGAGCATTTTGAGATTTGGAGATGTATTAACAAAGGGTTACTCAAACATGTGTGAATGAAACAAAACAGAAACAACATTACAACATGGCTTAAAGATCACAAGGTCCTATAAGTTGTGTCATTCTTTACTATGCACCGATTCAAACAAAAGTAATGTAATATTACTTTAGTATAGTGTAGATGATTTCCAAATGCCCGGGTCATTTCCTGTCTCATGGTGAAGTGTGCTGGACTTCCCCTGCATCAGTGCACTGCTCTGGCCTCAGCTGGACCATTCCCCACAGAACAGAGCTCCATATGGGCAAGAGGACAGAGCCACAAAGCCTTTAAACACACACACAACACACACACTTCATCTAAGTTGCTCAACAACACAATTTTACCATAACTTCCTGACTGATGCTTTTAAAGATCCTATATTACGCAAAATTGACTCTCGTGAGCTTTAAGTCGTGTTATAATGTTGTTACATCCTCAAAAACATACACATTATTATCACACATTATTGAGTAATTCTGCATTATTAATCTGTCTTCATCTGCAAAGATCAAAACGCTCTGCTCCATGCTCATGCTCGTTTCTGTTTGAGAGAAGAATTCAGCCTAAATATGCAGGTTTGTGTGTTAAACATGTGTGAATGAAACAAAAACACAACTGCATGTTTTTGAAGAGGAAACAATATAGCATAAATCAGAAAATACAGTAATATGGGCCTTTACTGTAAATAGGCTCTGTTTTCATTTTATTTGTAATGTCTCAGATATGTTGTCATGTTATGTGTCTGTTGTCTGTTTGGTTTAATGTTTTATGTTGTTGTCTTACTGAATGTTTAATAGATTAATTCATATGCATTGTCTTAATTACTATCTAGAACTGTATCCTGCCTTTCAGATAGATGTGACTGACAGGCAACTTAACCAGTCAGAGAATCTCATGGTCCAAGTAAATATGAATAAATATCGTGGAGGACTGGGAAACAATCAACAAGCAAAGCACCAAACTCTTACATAAAAGAAGTTACATATTTTGTTCTGATTGATACAAGAATATTTAAGGAGACGTCAGAAGTGCAATATATTATTGAAGTAAATATAGATGATAAACGATAATACTGAAACAAAACCATGAAGCTGAATTATCCCCAATATTGTAAAAAAAACAAAAAAACACTGCTGCAAAAAATAAGCTCATAAGTAATTAGTTTGTGTCTTTAATGCGTCATAGAAGTTCATAATTCAACCCTGGACAGTTCAAATCTTATCATACTGCAGAAAAATAACAAGCCTTTTCCAAGTAGTACAAATAAAAAGGACCCACGAGAAATACTGACTCCCAAAAATATTTGTTCCATCTATCATGTATTGAACGATAAGTCAATATAGTAATTATCATGACAGGCCTAGCAGGAGATATTGGCTGGACAGGTAACTCTGCACAAGACAAGCATGGAGTAGAGAAAAAGAAAGAAAGAAAGAAAGAAAGAAAGAGAAAGAGGCACTCCGTCTGTTATGAGTCAGCGGGCAGATTAAGCCAACAGTTCTCAGGATCCAAAGATAAGTCTGTTAGAAGGGGGACTGTGCATTGAAGTACAGTACATGAAGACTGCAGCTTGCTAACCTATTTACATGTCAGGGAGATGGTAATGTCTCCCTCAAGGCATTGTGCTTTCACTGTGAGAGCGTGCGGCGTCTGGGAAAAACATTTGGGTTTTCTTCTTCTTGGCCTGAATTGTGCGCACTCATAATGACTCACTCGAGATTCTCCATGCCCTGTAGCACTTTGTATCACATTATGAGACAATAACATTGGTTTGGCCTTCAAAAAGACACCCCAGGCATAAATAAAACATGTATGTATCATGCAAGCTTTTGTTGTGCTCTATCAATTAGCCATATGCTCCTATATGCATCTTCTTTCCACTCAGATTTTATGTAACTAACCACATTGTATAATCTAGTTTAATACAGGCAGTTTCGCAATGGACAGAACTGGCACAAAGTCATGGTTCATAGTGACCCAATCAGCCTGGATTCTAAACAAAATGGCGATGACAGATCTGCTAATATTATTTAGAGTATTTTGCTTGTGGGTATTTCACAATTAATTTTACACAGTAAATGTAGTCATAATTGAGTATGTGAAAATCAGTACATTTAATATTTTACAAGCAATTTTGTTGTTGTTGCTGAAACACATCAAAAGCACAAAATTCTAAATGTGATGTGATGAACAATATATTTTGTATTTTGAAATAGTAAATTATGATATATTGCATTTAAAGGGCATATATTATGCAAAACTATCAACTACTGAGTACTGACTTATAGACAAGTCAAAATGTTCTTACCTCACCAAACATTTTCATGTCATTCTCATGTATCACACGACTTCCTCATGTAGTCAATAGAGTTCGTTTTGCTGTGGCTTGTATCATCTTGAGACTTAAAGGATGCCTCTAATGCCACCAACATCACCAATGCCACCATCGAACTAAAATAATTAACATAAATTACAATTACAAAAGTATAATATAAAAGACACAAAATAAAGACATGAACAATTACAAAAATATACCTCGCTGGCTGCCCCATACTTTGAAGGAAGAATGACCTTTAAACACATGTTTATTCACTTTAACACTATCTTAACTTTATTTGAACAATTTTAACTAATTGGTTTGGTTTGCCGATTACAGCTTCTCAACCAGGCGTGCGTCTCTAACAAGGGGTCTAGCGGAACCGAACAAAACAACAACAGTTCCTACCTGTTGACTACCAAAATAAAAGAACAACATTTTCTCTTATTCGCATATTACATATTATTCAAGAATCATTTACATAAAAAGGTAAATCAAAATTATGGCAGTAAAAACATGTTTGAGTAACCCTTTATTATTAATCTCCCTACATCTCCAAAACTCAAAATGCTCTTTTCCCCTTTATGATGTCATGAAGCATGTTAAAAAAAAAAAAATCTGTAGTGATTGACAATTCCAAAGCTGAAATTATCTAAATGATTCTAGTGAAGGTGTATGAAGTTTAAAAACACAGTGGTGCACTTCCTGTATTAAATGACATCACAAGGTGGAACAGACTGTTTTCTGTTTGAGAGAATAAACATTGTGTGTTAAACATGGGTATTTAATTAAACAAAACACAACTCCAGGCATGTTTTTGACAAGTAAACAGCATTTTAATAGATCAGAAAATAGCGTAATATGGACCCTTTAAACTACAGGAGGAATGAAAATGTTATAATGTCTACTGTCCATGACGGACCAATCGCTCCAATAACCCATATTCCTTTATTCCTTTATTTTTTCATTGGCAATAAATATATAGGCATGTATAAGGCAGGAGGCCAACACATAATAGACTTTAATGGTATTTAATGGGCAACTTGGGACAACAATACAGGCGTTACCAAAGCTCGGTCATTAAGTTCACCATTGTTCTCTGAGGTTCATTATAGGGGAAAATGAGCAGCCTCAACACTGCACTTTACGAGATAAGCTTGGCTGGCCCTTCCTCTGTACAACCATCATAAATACAGTTATTCATCAATCCTAATTCACCCATCCACTGACTGGTCACTGCATTCGAGGCCATAAATGAAGATATAGACTTTAATCTCCGAAGCCAAGTGGACTCAAAACACGCTAGGTTATAACTCAAAGTGCTCTGTTTGCATATTTCTATTCAAAACGCCTTTAACTGAGCATACATTTCTCTTCATACAAAAGTTGGCGACGAGTGTGGTTGTAACTGGAGCACTGGCTGTACGGAGCTAACCCAGCATGTAAAACGCAGGGATGAATACAATGAACTTTTATAGGCTCTGGCAAGTTCTTGGAGACACAAATATAAGGGTTTTAAAAGCAGACCTCAGCGACTTTTCCTGTTCTTGCTGTGGATTGTGCTAGGATCACAGCTGCTGGTAATTTGAACAGAGGCAGTGGGTCTGAAGTATGAATGGACTACAGTGGTGTGTGGTGGGCACTGAGGTTACACATGGAGACACCACTAATGAAGTAATGATACGATGCACCGCTAATTGTTACTGCTAAAGCTTAAGGCCCATCCATAAAGCAGACAACGTAAAAGTGAAATCTGCATGGAAAGGAAAATGTTCACTGTAAACAATTACGTAATGTTATTATGTTAATGTTCAAATACTACCAGTTGGCAGAGTGGCTTTCAGTTCACTCCTGCCAACCAGAAGATTACTAGTTTGTATCTTGCATATTGTTTTTACTGTTTATTGTATGGACAAAACACACTGCTCACATCGGCTACTTTATTTTAAAGATACACTATTTTTCTGGTAAGGGATCTGCCACCTACTTGTCTAGATGGAAATATTATTGTTTTGACAAACATTTTACACATGGCATTATATTTGACTGATCTAGCATTTCTTAAATTAAAACTACAGACAACATACATAATACAAAATATCTGGATCACATGCAAAACGTGATCTATAAATATGACCAGTAACCAAATCTGGTGAAGTCATCTGTCTCCATGGAGATATATACATTTAATGCCATAGCGTGGAAATTTATAGAAAAAGGAATTCCATCTTGAGAACAAGCAAGTGGCGGTCCCTCCACCTAAAAAGTTACATAGTGCATCTTAAAATATAGCTGTGGTAAAAAGATGGAGAAATACTGGTTGACCCACTTAAATTGGATTTATGCTTAAAACATTTTTTAATAGTTTTATTGACCACAAAGATATTAGGGTGTTTTTCATTTATTACTATTATTACTATTATGCATATTATGTATTCATTGCTGATTGCAGGGCCAAGTTACACTGAAAAAAAAGGTTGCTGGATTTGCGTAAAAAAGTTATGGACAGTGGTTGCACGCAATAAAATTATGTTTAGGCTTTGAAACTTTTTTCGAACCCCTCTACACATATTTTTCTCGGAACATGAACATCACTTTTTCATGTTGATGAAATTTGAACAAATCATGCTGAATATGCATATTTATCTTATGGTACCTTATCATGAAATGTATAAGTATGTATAATGTAATTTAATTGATCTAATTCTGTAAAAGAATACAAAAACAGTCTTTAGTTTTCCACAGTTCTGTATTGTCTTAAACAGAATCAAACACAAAGAGAGCACAGGGACAGAGATACACAGTTTGGAGCTGGACAGTGTGAAGATTTATTCCAGTGAAGACGCTCTGGTCTCTGCCTGTGGACACACGAATAACACATGATGATCACATGATGATGATCTACTCTGTTGTACATGTTTAAATACACTTATAGCAATTATTATTACAATAATGGACCAGAACAGAAGAACAAGAACATTAGAACTGTATCTGCAGAAACAAAACTCACCACGTGCTGCTTTTCTTCCTCTAAACACAGTAACAGGGAGGGCATCTGGTATAAAGTCTCCTAGTGCCACATCACCTTGTACAAGTACGATAACAGTTTCAATAGGAAGTTCATTTTGAAAAATTTTAAAATAATTTTAGTTGGTTTACTTACTTTGTTCATCTGTGCTCTGTGTTTTGTTGGTTCTCAAACATCTTCCTTTTTTCTGAAACATCAACTATAACATTCATGAACTTCCCCACAGCTCCAGCAGAGCTCTGGACGTCACTCTTTGTAGACGACTCTGGAAACACATTCAAATCTTAGTACAACTGTCACCCTCTTGTAGATGGACAGTCAAAAACAATTTGTTTCAAGCTGTCCTTACATTAACTCTAATTTCAAATAAAACACCACAAACATGTTTTAACAATGACGACATTCTAGGCCAGAGAAACATATAAAATCTTTAAAAAGTCTCACCTCCAGATCAGCTCTGATAATCCTCCTGCTCCACACTGTGTCCTCTGCTCCTGGAACTGTCCTGTGTCCTGTTACATTTGAATTTTCCCTCCAAAAGTTTTGGGGAGGAGAATTCCAGAGGGAGGAGCCTCACCAGAAATTATAATAAAGTCATGTTTCCTCAACCTGATTAAAACATGCAGGTCTCACATCGGCCACAATCAAGCGATGTTTGTAAGATTTAAACATGCTTGACAGAGAAACGTAAAAAAGTGATGTTATTGTTGTCAAATTTGTTTTTGCAATTTGAGCAACCCCTCTCGGACTGTTTTTTCAGTGTAGGTTCATTGTACAAAATAAATGCAGTTTATGGAATGCACGGTTTATTGCATGGTTCGTCAGATCAAGTTAATATTAGTGCCTGCAGCCTCCTAACCAAACCCCTCCAGATGAATAAATATACATATATAAGTTACTGCATATTAACAACACAGTATGATGCTTTACAGATAATGCCATGATTATTCATAAGCCCATTGGTCAATGTCATATCTTGGGGACAAAATGACAAAATGATGACGTCAGCTGATGCATTTTCAATTTGGAGGTCATACGAGTCACTGCTAATAGAGTTGTGTCATAATTACTAGCTTTAATCAAGATTAATTGTAGCATTCACTTAGCATATAAATCAAATATGACAGCACTGCATAGGGAGGAGCAGGGCAACTGTGCTACATACATGTACAGCGATGTGAAGGCGGGTGGTTCCAGACTACAAGCTTTTTGACAGTGTGCATTAGCTAACATTGGACTTGAACCCCTGCAGTCTTGTTTACCTTTAGACCACACCAGACGGTAGACAGTCTGACAGCAAGAATGTAAGAGATACAGCGGTGCTAACATGGAGGACACCCACCCAGGGAAACTCCAGTCAAACAACAGTCTGGACGCATGGAACACTTTGTAACTGTCTTTAATATTTAAAGCTAGAGATATCCCAAAAGAAAACTGTGATAAAAAAATGAAATGAAAAATAGAAAAATAGAGGGTTATATAAGAACATGATAAAGTACAATATATTATATATCTGAGCACCGCAACCAGGTTTGGTCACGGTAGGATAGAGCTGTGCAATCAGGTTTGCTTATTTCAATGATCCATGAGAAACAGATGAGTTTATTGGTCTTCAATCATTTAGGAAAAAAGGAGAAAAAAATGTCAGGGGACTTCAGCCGATTTCTGCAGAATCATTGAGTAAAACACTAAACTGTTAATCTGAGGTGAGAGAAACTTAATTTTGTTTGTAAATGACAGGTGACCGATGAGCTCCTTCACATGCTTCACTGAATACAATGAATCTGATTGCTCACTCTTTGGTTGGACTTAAGATGCATAGTAGAGCATGGGGACCAGACTGATATCCCTCTGTATAAAAACACTGAAATATCATTCTGGATTTGCCTCCGATTGCCTCTCTTAATCAGAATATATATAAGTGTAGCATTAGCAGGCTGTTTTAGCAGTTTTCTATCTGATTTCACTTTAGATTTCACTTATCAGCAGGTATAGGTCTCGTACCATTTTCTGGGGCATAAATTAGAGTATTAATGATACACCAGGGGGTATAAAAGCCCCAAAATGCATTATCAATAAAAAAGAATAAAACATACTTATAAACACACTTATTTTAAAAAATATATATATTTTGAGATAAATAACATGTGTTTAATTTCAAGCTGTAACTTTCTCCTATTGTCAGTTAGGTCATAGCTACCACACATGCATTCACATTGCTGAATGTGTTTTCTGTGCTCTTTAACCTCATTTCATGCATCTTGTCATGTGAAATGAGACTTATGGGCAATATAAAATGATTTCCCTTGCTTA